TATTACTATAAGTAAATCGAGGCAAAATTTCAAGTAAAACAGAAACTAAATAACATCTAAAATCTTTATTCAAAAAATTCGTTAACATTATCTGGTAACCGACGATGTGATTTATACTTCTTTACCGCCCATTCAGCCATCCTTCCTTCTAAGCCTTTATCATATGCATCCATATATCTCCATGACTTTCTTGCAAATTTTCGGATTGTTGTAATGGGAATACTATTTAATACTTCTGGGATTACTTTTACCAAATCATCATATTTATAACTACATCTCCTTCTTGTCTCCCGTTTTGCATATCCCCAGTATCTTTCAATAAAATTGCACTCACAATGGAACTTTGGATACTTTTCACATATATGGTTGGATGCAATTATTACTTCTTCTAATGCTGACTTCTGCTCTAAAAAGTCAGGTTGACATGACAAAATTCGTCTTGCACAGCAGTTCTGCCTATTTGGATCCCTTTTCACTTTACCAGAACATTGAGTACAGACAAGTCTAATTCTTTCTGCTGGCCACAATCCACGCTCAGTTAATACTGTTTGGATTCCTTTTGGTTTTCCTCTTAACTCAATATCAGCATCATCACCAAAAACCATTTTTGAATACATTTTTTCCCTTCCTTGTTAATATACCAACCATCACGCAACTTTGCTTGCTTTTTTCCTGGACCTAAATTCAATCTTGTAACTACAAGAGCATCTTCTGCCATTGCATTGTGATTAGTTGACTGATCAAAACAAAAGACTCCAATACATCCAGGATGGATTATTTCGAAGATGGGAATTGCTCTATTTATTAACTTTAAAAATTGATTATTATTTGATTAAAGGTTAGCTACAGAATAATACAGAGGTTTTTCTTGAAATCTAGTTTTATAATGTTATTATACAATTTTCAACTTGTGATTGCAATTACTTATACTTACCTGTTCAATCATATGTTCTGCTTTCCAATACCCATCTGCTTGAATTGATCGTAAAACACGCACATCCTTGAATTTAACATGTGGATTAGCCTCCAACTGTTCATCAGTTAATTGCAAAGAGCCATGACAAGCACAAAGAAAGTCAGACACCATAATAGAACGACCTTGATACTTTGGTCTCAGAACATCTTCTTTGTCTTGTATCCATAATTTTCTTTGCCCTTCATTGGCATAAAAATGGCTTTCATCATGTGTAACTATGACATGTTCTTTCTCATCTACATCAGGCTGAAGTTGTGGTTCAATAATTTCATCCAACATTTCACCATTATAATCTTTCATAAGCTGTTTATAATTAAACATTCTCTTTAACCATTCTTTCCTATACTGAACAACATCTGAGCGTTCATGTCCATCATAAAATACATCTTTTTTCTTTTCATCATATCTATATCCCCATATATGCATATACTTTCGACAAGTTTCTTCTGAAATTGTATCTTTTTTTATGTATCCAAGTCATCTTAGGAAAAACTGTTTCTTCAATGTAATTTTTTAATTCTTTAGGAAGACGAAATTCTGGCTTTTGCTGCCGTAACCATTTTTGACAATGCTCTACAAAATCTTCACTGTCAAGCAAACACTCAATTTTCATATGTTTTCCCTGTTGATGAACAGGAAGCTTACCATTAAGCAAAAAATAATTACCCCAAGTTCTAATGCAACGCGACATGTAGTCACCCTTTCCCCAAAAATTTTTTGCAACCTGCAAACTTGCATTCATTTTTCCCATCCCATTCAAATGCAACTGATAATATTGATGTAAACTTAAAAGTTGTATATATTCATACGTGTCATAAAACTTGTTTGACTTAAGAATTTTGCAACAATTGCTCAGATCTTCTAAACATGCTTGCAAGTCAGGAAAGAAAGATGATGGTAATAAAGATGTAAATGCTGATGTTGATACCAACGCTGATGATGTTAATGTTAATGGTTGAAAAAAGGTGTCAATTTTTGCGAACGAATGTACATGTCTTTTTAATTCTTCTTCTGCTTTTCGTTTACGCCATTGAGTTGTTCTTGATGTAGAATCATAGTAGACTCTTTTATTTTTTAACGCATCTTCTTTCCAGACCAACTCAAACCTCTTTTCAACGTCTTTTAATTCCCGAAAATCCTCTGCAGACCATATCTCGCCATTCTCCAAAATTTGCACTTGACCATCATCATTGTTATCTATTAATTCTTGTTGGTGCTGTTAATGTTTAGAAAAACAACCATCTGTATTTCGCTTCCTGTTTGCGACTTGTAGTTGGCGTTTACTAGGACGAGGCATTTTTATTTTATCTGTTTATGGACAATTATCAATTAGTATACTGATACTATCATAATCAATGCGAATTTACAAACGATTGGCGTATACCACATGATATTAAATTAATGAATTTTATTGGACAGTTTTTTCGTTACACTGCATCTCCGAAATTGAAACATTGTCGAGTATAGAGTTGGTGCACCATA